TATAACGACAAATAAACGGTTCGACGTGTCTCTTCTTTCTCAAGGTAAGTTTAGGTCAACAAAAAGCAGATATCGAACTTATGGTTAGTCAGAAGTGTGTATTACAATAAGATAGAATAACGAACTGAATAGAGAGAGAGAGAGGGAAAAGAAACGAATGAAGAAAGATACAAACGTTGAATGGAACATTAAAGAACATTATTTGTAAGAGAAAAATATCGAATAAACAGAAAGTTTTATAAATATTGTTGATATTAAATCATCGATATTATTGGTTTCATTAAATCTGTATATTCTCGTAATTTATTGTTCAACATCTTTCATCATAGAAATAATTAAGTTTAAAGGAAAATTAAAGAACATTTAAGGAAAAGATATTAAATAAACAGAAAAGTGTTAAAATATTGTTGATATTAAATCATCGATAGTATCGTTTCTAGTAAATCTGTATATTCTCGTAATTTATTGTTCAGCATCTTTCCTCATACAAATAATTCAGTTTAAAAGGAAAATTAAAGAACATTTAAGGAAAACATATTAAATTAACAGAAAGTGTTGAAATATTATTGATATTAAATCATTGATATTATTATTTCCATTAAATCTGTATATTCTCGTAATTTATTGTTCAGACTTTTTCCTCAGACAAATAATTAAATGAAATAGAAAATATTATGAGACAGATTATCGAATAAACAGAAAGTGTTAAAATATTGTTGATATTAATAATCAACATTATTGTTTCCATTAAATCTGTATATTCTCATTATTTATTATTCTTCATCTTACCTCGCAAATAATTAAATCAGAAATTATAAACTAGTTATAAAAAAGAAATTCAAAGATCAAGGCTTTTTCCTTAGAAAATTATAACAAGAGAAACTGCTTTTGCATATAAATTGATTCACAGTATCAAACGTCTAAAGAAACTCATGTACCATAAAGAAATAATATTTTTTTTTTCTTGCTTGTAGTCGACAAAACAAGAAGAAGAAACAGACGCAAAAGTAGAAGTAGAAGTAGAAGCAGAAGCAGAAGCAGAAGAAGAAGAAGCTCTTCGTTTATAAGAAGAGACGAACAGAAAAAGAAAAAAGCAAAGGTGGGTGAAGGAAAGCGAAGAAAGATAAAAGGGTGAAAGGCTTGAAAGGGAAAGGTTTGAAGAAAGGTAAAGCCTGCTTGCTCTGCTAGCAGCAGCACCTTCATCGAGCTAAATAGATGCTCGAAGGTAAGATCTTGCAGACGTTCGGTGTAATACCGTTTGCTAGAATCCAGAAGAACCGATGCTATAAGGTGAAACAAGTTTGAATAGAGCCCGCATTCCTCATCGAATACCCGAGAAACTCATTAAGGGAGTTGCCATTGACTGGGGGAAGGTTGCCACCAGCTGTGCAAGTGAACCAGAACTACATCAACGTAAAATCGACACCCCAGGTACACTATATATATATACTTACAATTAAAATAGATAGTATGAGTACTCAGCTGATTACGCGCGACTAACTTTATAAGATATTATCTATTACAAGTAGTAGTTAATAATAATTCAAATACACATTTGAAATTAACGCGCAAATGATCAATTCTTTTATTACTTTTATTTTTTCCTCTTAGTTAGTATTTTTTTTTTTTTTTCTTGAAACTACTTTTTTATTCTTTTTTCTTCTTTTCTTTTTTTTTTTGTTATACCTGACGTCATGTATCTACATTCTTTAATACATTATTTTTTTTATTCGATAATATCAGTTACGCGCATGAGTAAGACTTGTGTTCAATCTACCATAAAAGTTGTAACGCATATCAGCCTGTTTGACGAGCATTCATTTATACATTTGCATATATTAATATTTTACGTTTATCTAACTCTAGATGTATGTTTGCAATAAACATTATCAGTTATTACTCGAGCCATATCACATTATATTATTACATAGAAAGGTCAGTTTTGCTTTCTTTTTTTTTTTTTTATCTCGAAACGATGCTTTTTTTTTTATTTGAAAATTGTTCACGTTACACCTTGATGATTTATTTTAAGATGAAAATTATACTTTGATTATTAAATAAAAAGAAGAAGAAGAAGAAATTTTCCATTATACAACTATGACAACTATAGTATACATATATGTGAATGCTTTTAAGTAGTATACCATTTGAAAAAAAAAAAGAACAAAAAAATAGAGATAAACTGAAAAAGTTTAACAAATGTACACGTGACAAAGTGGAAAGCTGCTGAAGACCAAGCTGATTTTCAGAATCTCGTTTTCCGTACTCTCGGCTAGAAATTGAATGGCACTCTCGTGTTCTTGTCAACTGGGTCAGGCACACTTTGGTTTGAACTGGCGAAAATGGGCCAAAGGCTACCCACGACCTAACACCGAATCAAATATCCGTTTCCGTTTCCGTTTCTATGTTTAAGCGGGAACGTGCTATTGCCTTTGGGGGATGCTTGCCGAGCATACCAGCTCCATCTTTCAACTCTCTCTTTTCGATACTAATTAACCATCTCACAAACGTTGTATGACCACAACTGAGATTGTTAGTTTGTAATTTCACAAGCTTACTACTCAGAAATATTATTAGTAATTAACCCTTTTATAACCCCCTCGAGGCCTTTTTCGCTTGGATAAACAAAACAACTCGCAATATTTGATTAACGTTTACAATACTTTTAGGTATATATATATATATATTTTTTTTTATACTTTAAAGAAAAATATTTGTTAAACATTTTAGCATTTAAATGATATGTTTATTTTCTAGAAGAATATTAATAAATAAATAATTATTAATATATACTGTATAACAATTCGCAATATTTGATTAACGTTTAGAATAACTTTAGAAATATTTTTTTTTATACTTCAAAAAAGAATATTTTGTTAAATATGAAATATTTTAACATTTGAATGATCCGTTTAGTTTCTAGAAAAATATTAATAATATAAATAATTATTATTATACTGTATAACTAACTATAATATACTATATAACAACTATTAATATACTAATAACTATAATAATATAAATAATAATTTTAAAAAAATACCAGTTTTATTATAAAAAGAAAAGTCAAGCTTTTCCACTAACGCAAAAAAAAAATGCTAAGCCTCTTACAGTAACGATAAAAAGTATCAAACGATCTTTTATTATCAATCGATTTCTAGTTATTAATAAAGATTTTATCAAATTAACAACAGTAGGCAAACAATATTTTTATCCATATCTTTTAAAGAGATAGAAAGAAAAAAAAGATAAAAGAAAAATATACAAATTAATTATATTGCAACATTTGCATCAATTTATACGATTTATTAATTACCATTATCATTCGTTAGATCATTAAGTAAATAGTAATTTGTCTAATAATATCCAGAGATTTGAGTTTTTTTTTTTTTGTCAGTAATAATATCTGTTAAGTTTACGTTTCTCAATCATCTTGATACCGATTAACGTGTCTGTCTCTTACAATAAGTAGCGAATCAAATATAATCGATACTTCTTTATAACGACAATAAACAGATAAGACAATGACAAAAAAAAAAAAAAGAACAGACCAAAAAAAATGAGGAAAATCTTTCCGATCTTAAGATCTCTTAAGATTTCTTAAGAAATCTGACGTTAAACGACGTTAGCGAAATCTGTCGGTTATCCATTCACCGTAAGAAAACTTATCTTTTTCAGTTCTTTCTGGAACGTTCAGATAAATAGTCATATGTGTACATAGTTACGGATCATAATGTTATAAAACTCGGATCGATTATTTTATCGATTAGATTTCTATTCCCCTTTTCGAATATCACACAAGATAGATCTATATTACTCACGTGATATTATCATATTTTCAAGATAAACGATTGTAATATTAGATGATCACATATTAATGACGTCATTATATATCACAGTATTTACGGAAGCAAGAGAATTCAAATTGGATTTTCTTAAGATACCTGCATAATACCCAACGAGGAATATCGATGTTCCATTTCTATAACGGTGCAAATGAAAATCAAATACAAGTAACGTGGTAAAGTGTAAATCAACGTGATCTTTTACAACGTGTAATATAGTTGACGTAATCAAAGAAGAAACTAATATAACCAAAGATACCAAACGCATTGCTACAAATCATGCTAGTATGTATGGTTACTAACATTGTCACGTGTCATCATCATATGATCTAATCGCGATAATTCATTGAATGGTAGTAGTGTCACGCTTTACGTTCATTTTAATATTTTATTTAGTTTCTTTGTCAACTATATATCAATAATGTTACACAATAATAATACGATTCATTATTAATCGACATAAATATGGAATCATTTGTAGAGTTAATTTAAAGCTGTTTTTTTATCTGTAACCCTGACAAAAAAACAACGATTAATTAAAAGTGAAAGGGAAAGCGAAAGAGAGTGAGAGAGAGAGAGAGAGAGAGAGCGAAAAAAAATAGAACGATGAAGGAAAGAAAGAGAAGGACACAAAAAATCATCATATATCATACAAAAATAGCTTGTTAAGTACTGTTCAAAACCTGTTTATATTTGTTATCAACTAACAAAAAAAAAAGTAGAGGGATTCCCTAAACATTTTTGGTTTGGTCTTTGAAATGATTAAAAGTAACTTAAGAAGATGCTCGTGAGTGAGTGAGTGCATGCGTGTGTGCGTGCGTATCAATTGAATCGTTTGACCCGTTTTTATTGGCAAGTCGCAGACACTGTGCGTGTGTATGTGTGTACGTGTGTGTGTGTCGGGTGGTGGGCTTTAGGTTTCGAACACACGGGACAGTTGCCAGTAAAGCTCACTCCTTCTTGCTATCGAGTGTTTCTCGAAGTGATTTTTTTTTTGTCGAGGAGGAGTCCCGTTCTCGCTCACTCTCGCGAATCTTAAACAAAAATGTCGTTCGTGTTACATCACGTAAATAAATAATTTTTTTTTTCTAATAATTCAACATTTTAGATTTCAATACACAAGAAGAAATTTTATTTGTCAACTTTTGCTACGCGAGAGAAGAAAAAAAGGGTGACCGGGACTTTCTCTCTCTCTCTCTCTCTCTCTCTCTCTCTCTCTCTCTATTCTTCGTTTGGATTCATCGTCACGGATTTATTTCATCTGTTTCAACAGATTCATCCATCTTCGATTTTATATATAATTCAAATATATATATTGTTGTATAACGCGTGGAAGCGTTCGACTGGATCGAACGATTTTCTTCTTCTACTTCTTCATCGTGTTAATCATTTTCATTTTCATCGTCAAACTTATTGTCTCCTTGATCTTTGGATATGGTCAGAGAAACATCAGAGGAGAATAATAAGGTCTCTACTATAACTGGTAAGAGAATCAATCTCACAATTGTTCTACATTTGCATAATTGATATTGTCATATGATATGTTATTTGTATTATTTTCTTTTTTAATTAATTCTTCTGAATAATATTTCACGTTCTACGCATTATTTAAGGTAACGTCAACAATGTCGATGAACCCGCCAATTATGAAAAAGCCATTTCGGTTACCGGTACGTTTTCTCATCGATAATTATTATTTATAAATATGAAAGTATTTATGTATCCTTAATAATTATTAAAAAATAATAATGAATTACTATTCGTCGTATTATTATAAGGTTCACATTCTCATATTTTGTTAATTAATTTCGTTAATTAAAAAACGATTTATCCAACTTTGTCAAACGTTTAAATTATCGAAATATGTTTCTACAAGTTTTTAAATGCAAACCAAATATTTATTCTTAGGTTTTGGATTATTCAACATTTTATTATTCGTGGCAGCAGTGCCAATCGCGTGGACTGCACTATTTGACACAACATCACCGGCATTTATTTTAGCGTCAGCAGAATGCGACTTGCAACTAACATTTTTTCGAAAAGGCGTTCTCATAGCATTCCCATTTATAGGTAACACAATTTTTATTTTTTAAATAATCCATTAATTATAATTTTCATTTGCATTATCTTTCGTTATTGCGCTTAACCTTCGGAAAATATACTTATTATTTATAAGATAAATAGCATTAACGTAACATAGTTCAAATGAGAACGTATTCCTTTGACAGAATAATCAAATTATTTTTCAAATTACTCCGACTAAAGTAAGATAAAATATAAAAAAAAAAAGACTTCTTTCCTCATGTATTAAAAAGTTGAATGATCTTTTTAAGAAAATTGATATTTGTAAAAGGCTTATTTATTTATTTATTTTTATGTTATATCCCAACAGCAATGTTGGCCACTGCTTCGTTGTGGGATTACGTGACAATCTACGTAGGTAGAAGGACCTTGTTCGTTCTTGGCTTACTAGCAAATTCCATCCTAAATATACTGAGCACTGCTGTAGACTCGTACCACGTGTTTTTACTCATCAAATTTATCAGCGGCATTATGTGAGTAAAGAAATAAGAAGAAGAAAAATAATATAGAAGGTGATAGGAAAAGATAGAAATACCTAACATGCGACAAATGAAACATATACACACACGTAGATAGAATTTTTCCTCGTGTTTCGCAAGCTTAGTCATTTTCTTATCTTGCCTGAGGTTATACTCACTAATTCGTACTCGATGCAACTCTATTTTTGCTGTTTGCGTATGTTATATCGCATATAATTACAATACATATACATATGTATACACATATATGTGGAAAATTTCAGAGGAGGTGGTCCACCATCGATGGTAATGGGATACTTAACAGAATTTCATTCTACAACATACAAAGCACGTTTTGCCGCTTGGTCTGGTTTTGTGTTTTCAATGGGAACTATCGTACCGGCAGGTAAGAAAATACAATTTATTTCTACGTATAGTAACTAATTGAAATGATTTCATTCGATAATAATATTGATATTCATAATTAATATATTTTTTATTGATTATTATTAATAATTTATTGTTTCAATGTATATATATATAGCTTTGGGTTTCAATATCCTACCCCTAGAATTGGAAGTCGATGTATTCGGTAAAACTTACAACAGCTGGCGAATTTACTTGCTGATTTGTTCAATACCACCTGTTCTCGGATTTGTGACAGCTAGCATGTTACCTGAAAGTCCGAAACACCTGATGGAAATGGGAAGACAGGATGTTGCTTTGAAACTATTTCGTAGGATGTACTGCATGAACACCCGAAAACCGGCCGATACGTTCCCGGTAAGGTTCGTAATTAATCGATATGTAGATGTTATACAGACTTGGGTCAACAACAATTAAATTATTACGATTATATATTTTTCAATAAGAAAAGAAAAGAAAAGAGAAAAAAAACCCCTTATCGGTCGTCAGATTTTTATATTGATGATTCTCACTGATTGTAAGTTGTAAGTGGTTTCGGTAAATTATGCAACAAAATTGTTCAATATTATTAGATTAATTGATTATTAATTATAAATGATTTTTTTTTTGTTTTTTGAAAAAAAAGGATTACTACAAATATATAAGATTATTAATTATTTAATTATTAAATAAAATATTTTTATTTGTAAATAACTTTTTCACGTAACTTATGACCGACAGGGGTTAATTATCAATCATTTCTTCTTCTTATCTATAAAATCAAACATAAACTTACTTTTTGTTTGTTTCTTTTCATAAAAACAATTGTTATCGACTCACCCGGTATATCTTTCTCCTATCATGTCGATCGGTTAATTAAAGACGAGTTTTAACGCAAAAGTTTCACCTAACACGCGTAAACTTTATCGAACCCTTCCTTTAACAAAATCGAATTTACGCGAACTGTTAACGTGAAGAACATAACAAAAAAGAAAAGAAAAGAAAAGAAAAGAAAAGAAAAGGAAAGAAAAGATAGGAAGAAAAGTTTTCCTAGTTCGTGGATCGTAAAAGTAATTATAACGGTAGCACGCGATAGTAAGGAAATAACTTTTCTTTTCGCGAGCTTCTTCGAAATCTTTCTTCCTTTTCTTTTTATCACATTTCTCTCTCCTTTCTTATTCGTACTACCCTCCCACAATTTCCAACGAATTTCATTCATTTTCCTCCGTTTCACGATTTTATCCTAATAAAAATCGTTAGGAAAATTTCGTTAGAAAATTTAATAAGAAAAAAAAAAAAAAGAAAAAAATCATTTGCGATAACTTTAACGTTAACTCGTCATTCAACGTACGTCATAATGAAGAAGCATGGGTAATAGAGACTATTTTAACGACGTGGTTTAATCAATGCTCGTAAATTACTGAATATTACGCTCTCGTAGTATCTCATGGGACTCGTTTACGGACGAACGATCGCGTTAATAATCAAAATTTCTGACATTCCTACCGACGAAGCTACGAATATTTAGCCATCGTCTGAATTTTCACATTCTTCTCTTACTTTCTCTCTCTCTCTCTCTCTCTCTCTCTTTCTCTCTTTCTCTCACGTATTTTCCACAGAATCATTTTCCGTTAAAGATTAGACATTAAATAAGAATACCACCACCACCCCACCTACCTCTCTTACGAATATTATCTGCTTAAATATCTAATAATTGAAATATTACCAAAAATATTACATTAATAAATATTCACATAATTAATATAAACAATACTTTATTGAAAATTGAATCCTCGAGAAGTTTACTACCATATTGTCCAAATATTAGAATATTATATATCCTAAATGCATAATTAATAAATTATTAATAAATGAATTAACGATAAATCATTCGTCGAACGTACGAACGAACGAACGAACGAACGAACGAACGTACAAATGAACGAGAACAAATCGAAATAATTTACCGAGGTAATATAATATTTTCCAACTGATTTATTATAATGACGTATTAAGATTAACGACGTGAACAATGTCTTATCAGTCGTTTTAAATTGTCAACGAGTTTCTTCTCTCCGCCTATGATAGGACGAAAATAACGCCTGTGTGATTCATATATTTTTTTCGTTCTCTCCTACACCTCTTTCCCTGATACTTTTTTAACAAACGACCATGAGAAAAAGAGATATCCCCTTCCCCACCCACCTCTTCCTCCTCCTCCTCYTCCTCGTACGTGGAAAACAAACGACATTTTTTATTTACCGTATCGTCCAGTGAGAAAGCACGTGGCGAGAAAAAGGGATGAAAAAAAAAAAGGGAGGTGAGATCGCCACGTATGACTCGAGAAAACAGAGAGAAACGCGAAAAATCGGATTTTCCGAGCGAATAGAACATTTAGATACCGGTACTACGGGCGTGTTACGAGGGGAGGAGGAGGAGGAGGGGTAGGGGTTCAAACGTCGGGATATGTATAATTCACCGACTGTATTTTAGACGGTATCCCATTGTTCTCTCCTCTCGACGTTCGTTTTACAGATAAAAACGTTGCTCGTCCAAAAGTCGCAATTACCACGGCCGACGTTAAGGGCAAGTCTCGAAAAAATTCGGATCGACCTTTACAACACTAAACTATTGTTCTCGGCACCTTATCTGTCAGCCTTCTCCGTCCTAACTTTTCTACAATTTGGAAGTATGCTAGGGTAAGTGTGTGTATGTGTGTATAATAATAATAATACTCCCCAATGCAAACTGTCAAACTGTCATTCACCTTCTTGCATTTCTTTATTTTTATTCTCTTCATTTCAAATAATTACCATTAAAATATCGTAAATGTTTAATAAGTATATATCGTTTCAAATATGTGTGTATTTGTGTGTTTTAATAACGTCTGAAAAAAATATATTTTAATAGGAAAATGATGTAAATGATATTCGAGTATATTGCAAATAAGTATATATAATATGCTTTAAATGAAGATAAAAATTAGTACAAATAAAATATCTTTTTATTAAAAGATACAATTATACCGATAGATATATATTAGGGGGACCGAAAAGTAATCAAAATTTGTCTTTTTTTATTTATTGAACAAATTTTAAATGTTAATCAACAAAAAATTGTTTCATCATTTTCTAACACTTTTTGCCTTACGTAAAGAAAACTATTCAATTCCTTTTTTAAAATGTCTTTCGATTGTTCATTGACACAAACTAAATGTGAGTGTACTCATTGAAAAATGTTTGATTACTTGTCGGTACCCCTAATATGAAGTTTAATATTTTACAGACATAATATTTATTTGTCATGTTATAATCGTTAATACATTACAGATATGTAATAATGTAGAAAGATACGAGTTGAAAGATATATATGTATATTCTTACAGTTTTAATACTATGAGATTATGGGTACCACATATGTTCATCATTTTAAACAACTATGATTACGAACATTGGAAACCTGCCGGAAGAGCTCCAACGATATGTGAAATGTTGGATCGGCATGCTGCTAAACCTGGCAGACCATATTTAAATTGTACAAACTTTGACGATGCATGCTTCGAGGTGAGAATAAATTGACGATACAAACGAGCAAGATTAACTCTTTTGCTCGAAAGATACGAGATAATCGAGACAAGGCGTACACTTTTAGTTTACACAACGATATCACACCGATCACCTGATAATAATTATTAACACGTTTTCTTATTGTTAATTAAACGATTCCTGTACCTATATTATATTGCGTGTGTAATTATGTTTATTTTATTTTTTCTAGTGGAAAATTAATCCATCCGTTTATCAAAATTCAACGATCATTGCCTCGTCAGCTGTACTATTTGGTTTTCTCGTAGGATTTATTATGACCAATAGATTACGAAAAAGAATTATTTTATGTAAGTACTTATATTTCATATTTAATTTTTCAACAAAAGACTCTTTTGTATATTAGAACAATCATCTTTTGTATTTCTGATAAGACTAATATATAAAATCTTTCAATTAATTTTCAAAAATCTATTGTAATCTTATCTAATTAACGTAGATACGTCTAATCCAATTAAGATACCGAGAGCTCACCTAATAATTTATATATTCACTAGGATACTCCGACCACACGTTGCTGTGGCTTTCTTATGAAGTGTGTTGATTTAATTTAATTCTAAACTATTTAGTAAATTATAACAATGCACAAAATAATATCATAATATAATGGAATATATAAAATAATAATACACACACACAAAAAATAGAAAAAGTAAGGTTATGTCGTATGTACATTGAAATACACCGCCATCTATTGAATACTTAAACAACCTAGAGACCTAGATAACCTTTAAATAATAAATCCATAAATTAGCAAAAAAAAAAAAATACAAAATAATCCTTAATAAAAACAATCCTATGTTGGGATCTCTAGCACTTGAATACGCTATCTGATGGCTAAATACAAAATTAGAATAGATAGGTCGAATTGCTACGTCACGCCCCTGCCAGAGATCCCAATACTATAATAAATTGAAAAAAAAATCACACAAAATAAAAAAAAATGGTTCAGTAATTTTGAAGTTCATTGAAAATCAACAATGTGACATTGAATTTTGATATAATAGAATAGAATTTGAATAATAGAATGAAAAGGGGGACAATTCGAAATAACGTCTTGGTTTAAATCCATGGATTAACAGATGCTACTGTTGCAGTTGTGGCCTTCCTGATATCACTGGCAAGCAGTTTTGGAATAAATTGGGCACAGGCACCTCCCTATATGCTGACGTTAGCAGCCGCCGTTATCGTGACATCAAGAATAGCGAGTAATATCGTTACCTCGGTGAATGCCGACGTTATTCCTATCCCATTAAGGTAAATACCTAGCAAATAAAAAAGTATTATAGATACACTCATCTTATAAACTTTATCTATCTCGTAAGCGGTTCAATCCAGATCGCTATATAATCTTCTACATCATTCATTTCTTTTTTTTTTTTTTTTTACCAACATTTTTTATTTAACCATTTATTTACTGTTTTTATTTTTTTAATCTTTCGTTAACCCATTACCTGCCACAATACGAAAATGCAAAAAAAAAGAAAATTAAATTAACTGTATAATGATATCTATACTAATCCAAATAGAACTATTTTTGCAACTATTGTTTTTTGTTTTGTTTTGTTTTTATTTAAATATAATAATTATTTTATATGATTAATTATTGATTTAAAATACAATAATTTTTGTTTTTCTATACTTTAATTTATATTATCCGTTAAAATCACGAAAATGCAAGAAAAAAGAAAAT